ATTTATTATTTTACTTTTATTAGGTGCTTGTCATAAAATTATTGCCCTGGATGCCAAACGATACTCAATCTCAGAAAGTACGGCCTTCAAATTTCGAATTAAGCAGATTTTTGTTGTTGGAGTTGATAATTAAATTCTTATTGAGATTCACAAGTTCCCCTATCCCATCCAGCAGTTAATCATTACCGAAGCCTGCGCTATTGAAAAAAGAATTGAAAAGGGTAAAGAAATACCTGACTTGACTTTGCTTAATTGTTTTTGCTTGTTTTTTTGCCGGTACTTACTTCCTTGCCAACATATGTTTCATGAACATATGTATGGTGATGAACTATTAATGTCGAGTGTGTGGGTGCAATTTCAGCAAATGTTTGTGGAGAATGGTTTTGAAATATATGAACATCATGAAGTTGTGGAAATTGAAATACCTAAAATAATGGAAGCTGATAAGGCCTTGGATAATCGATGCTCGGTTGTAAATGAACTAATAGAAAGAACCCGTAACGCATATTGGAGAGTAGAGGATGAAGGAAGCCCGAAAAAAAAATCAGAATTTATTAAAAATTTAAAAAGTTCTTTAGAGCATATTTTAAATAAATAAAATAACAGCTTTTATGAATGCATACGCATACCTGTTCATTCTCAGATCTATTCTTCTAACAACTGATCCCAGTGAGCATATACTTAAGTTTTTTTATAAATAAAAAAAAAAACTCACCGTATTTATTAAGCATTAATTAAAAAAAAAAAAAAAAGGAACGCTATCCCTATAATACTGTATATAATACAGTAATATTACAGGTAGTGGTAGTATAAAATATTAACATTAAAAAAAAAAAATTATTGCTGACTCTTCAAAAATAATCGTAACCACGTGCGTTCTGTGATTTCCTATGATGCGGGTAATTTCATGAGGTGCCAGGCTTTAGACGACCCCTCTAAATAGTGTCTCCATATTCTTTGTACCTCCAAGTTTTAATAGCGAACAAAGATAAAGACTAATATTAAAGTTAGGTATTAGCATTAGAGTTAGTGTTTTTTTAAGCTAAAATTGTAAAAGAAATATTTTTTATTAGTTAGACAACAAGGTTACTCTAGTAAAATTTTGAGTTATTAGCAATTTTTATAGTAAGGAGCATATAGTATATGAAGCACTATCTAGTCCAATTCTAATTAAAATTATTATTTAAATTTTCAAAAAAATTGATTTAAAACTTTTATTTTTTTAATATTTTTAAATTAATTTTTATATATAAAAAGTTTATACTATATAAATGTGAAATAATACTTTTTTGCATATTAATTGATTAAACTGCATATTATTTTGAGTATATATATATATATTATTTTAAAATAAGACTCAGAGCTAAATATTATTAAAATAATATATATGCATCTTGCATAGTAAGACCTAAAGACCTGTTATATAGCAACTTATCAATAGTTCTTATAAAGTTACTATATAATCTTATATACTGGTATTAGATATTTATACTAGTTTCATTTTATACTATAATAAAATATTAAGTTTTATAATACAGGTCAATAATGTAGTACTAATTAATTACAACTTAGATGTATATTAATTCAGAATATATATGGATACTAATTTAAGACACTATATGCTATTTGAAAGGTGCTTAGATTTTAAAATAATGCTCATGTCTATTATTTTATGTTTATACAATAATAGTTTTTATATATACAGTATACTGTAATTAAAAATTTAATATTTTAAAACTGAGGGTTTGGGCTTTATAGCTTAATTATTAAGTTGCCAAACCCCTACAGAAATTAAGTTAAGATCTATGGTTTGAGTCAGGCTAGAGGCAAAAAAAACTCTATAACCTATAGATAAGGAGCCAAAATTAAACACAGAGCTTCATAAAAGTCCAAGTATAGTATAGATTTGATAGGAAATTTCTGGAAGGAGATCTAACTATAGAGAGTTGATATTACATTTGGCAAGTAGCGTTATAGAAGATCTGAACAATAGGTTGCATAAATAATTTGTAAAAATCAAAACTATAAAGAGTTGGCATTACGTTTGGCAAGCAGCATTATAGAAGGTTTGGGACAAATAGATTGTACATATAAATCCTTGAGGTATTTAGATAATACCAACAACCCAGACAGTCTGGGATCTTGTTTGGGAGAGTAATACTAATATTCTAAACTAGAAGTAATAAGTGAAGTGGTGGATATAGTGAAAGATTTGTATAGTAGCACTAACAATCCAGAGGGTCTGGGATTTTAATTGGAAGAGTAATACTAATATCCAAACTAGGAGTAACAAGCAAAGTGGTGGATATGGTAAAGATCTATAGAAAAAGATTGGTCTAATTAAATTCTGGAAATACATCTGACACCTATATAAGATTAAAAGTTATGTTAGGTATTGCATCATATATTATTAACTTTGGTAATAAGTGCTATGCTAGTGCATTGTTAGTCAAGGTTCTAGGTCTTCTTGTAGCAGCAAGCTGGAAGTGAAAATGATTGTTAGTAGTACACCTACATGTAAAAATAGGTACATTGAGAAGCTTTTGGCATTTATGCTACAGACAATACCAACTTTAGTAGCATCATAAAAAGCAAGTGGTACATTGCAGAATAACAACTGAAAATTCCAATAAATCTGGTCATGCCTATTTGAAAAGGTTGTGGTTTGAGATACAGATCATGTTATAGCAGTACCCCAAAAGTTGGCTTGAGATATAAACATGGTGATAGTAGCACAACATGTATCCAAATTAGAGTATTACTAAATTAAATCTAAGGCCATATACACCAATTTGAGAGCAACAAAAACAAAAAACTACTAGAATGAACCAAACTAGAAAAAAAAAAAGTTACTGCAAGAAATAGATAAAGAGACAAAATACTAATAACAATACAGAAAACTATATATATAAAAAGATGGGTTGTACACTAGCTAGAAGTTGATTAATAGGATAATAGCCATTAATTAAATTCTAATATATAGCAAAAATAAAACTAAATTGCTTAGAGTGAGTATTATTAGATAGTCTAATGTAGCACAAATATGTAATAAGTTCTTAAATTCTTAATTAATAAAAATTACAGTGTATAAGCAATTTACTAAAAAAAACCAAGCTAACACTCTCTCCGATAATCCCTCATACCAAAATTTTACAGAAAAAACTAAACTATGAAAACCTCATATATACTATATTTTATAAAAACAAAACTTCACTTGGCTGCTATCAGATACAAAGTCCATTTACTGAGTGCTTTGTTCTTTGAAATAGAGTTGAAAAAGATAATAAGCAGACATCTAAGTGAGGCACCTTGGTGAGCTATAGTACTATTAAGCAAAAACATAGTAGAGTATTTCTAAAGCTTTGTCAAATACTACAGATATGAAAATAGAAATAGATACTTGGTAAAATATAGTATTATATATAGCATAACTCTTACCAACTCTTGAGTTTTTGGTACTTCTTCCCTATGCTCTTTTGGCCTTTTGAAATTTCAACAAAAGTGGCTTTTCTGTTTACTCTCTTCAAAAAATCAGTACTTTGTGATGCTGCCAAATATAGTAGCCTGGGCCTTTCCAAATTAGGAATATATTTACCAAAATAGAATCTCGCATAAGTAAATTTGGTTAATACTTGTCAACAAACAAGGACTGCTGTAGAAGATGGTTGGAAGAGGCACGTGATGAAATTTCTAACATTATAAATGCTTTACTTTTTCTTTCTTTTCTTTTTTTTTTACTTACATATAGTGTTAGATTAGATTTATTCTATACAACCTATATAATTTTTAAAGTTTAGCACAAGCAAAAATAGTGATATCATGGTTATCTTCTTTGTGGCCTTTTTTTTCTTTTTTCTTTTTTTATTTTGTTTTTTTTTTATCTTCATTTAGTTTAGTATTTCCTCTCTTTTTATATTCTTTTTATTTTGTAAATTTCCTATTGTTTGTTGGTAGAATTCTTCTACTTAGGAGGCTAGGAGAAGAAGGTTAAAAAAGAAGATAATCATAACAGACTGGTAATTTATGTTAGTGATCCAGGGTAGTTTGCTCTAAAGTAGACCAAACTTAACTGGTAAGACTAAAATTATCTTTGGCAGATTGCACATAGATGCTTATAGTAACCGAGTGAGCCACATTCCTATAGTATGTAGATATTTCTACGATGTAAAAAAATTTTTCCTTTCTTTGAACCAAATTTAACATCAATAAAGCATTAGAATTGTGACATAATTGTCAAAAATAAAAATAAAAATTTACTAAAAAAAAAAAAATATTTTAAAACTGTTTAATAAAAATAGCTAAAAATTTTTTTATAAAACTATTATAATTATTATATTTAGGGAATTGCTATTTCCACTCTCCATTTTTGCCAATGCCACTTTTTAAATTTTAAAAAATGCTTTGGAAGAGGTTATTATTATTAAGAAAACCTTCTTTTGATCTTAATAAAAGTTGTTCATTAGGCCTTTCTGGTTCTAATGGAAGTAAATTCATTAAAATCAAACCAATAGTTTTTTTTAAAAAGTAAATAAAAGTTATTTAACTTCGGATATATATATTTTAAGAACTACTAGTCTGAATATAATAATTTTACTACTATTAAAACTAGAAAGGCCTGATAAACAACTTTTATTAAGATCAAAAGAAGGTTTACTTAATAAAAATATCTATTTTAAAGCACTTTTTGATTTCTGGGGGATGGCATTAGCAAAATGGGGGCGGAAATAGCAATTCCCTATATTTATACATATTAATTTTAAAATAATATCTTCAAAATGACTGAGATATTAATTTAAGTGCAAAACTTTCAATCACCCCACGTAGTATTAATAAATAAATAAATAAAAAAAGTCTACAAATTACAAATTAAAAAATAATTTTAGAAAACCTACAAATTAAAAAATGAGTTATTTTTATTAATTTTTAATTTATTTCAAATCTACAGTATATAGCAAATTAAAATACTATAAATCTAATAAACAAACAATAAATAATTTATTTTAATTATAAATCTTTTTGGCGAATGTTTCAGCAACAATTAATGGAAATACAATTGTTGCATCTGCATAAACCTAGTAATAAAAAAAAAATCATTAAAAAACATATAAATATATATATATTTAAACACATAAAGCTCTAACCTTAACAGGTTCAGCAGTTGCTCTAATTTTTCCCCAACTAACAGCTTCATCAGGTCTTGCACCAGAATCACTCCCATCAAATTCTTGTCCAGTGTTTATATAAACTGCGTAATCAGCACCATTTCTCTATATGTAAAAAAATTGAATTATAAAAAAAATATACTATATATAACATATCGAATAAGCTATTGAGAAGTTACTTACCATAAGATTAGCATTACATATATGATGCTTTACTATACCACCACCCAATATAATAACACCAGTTTTTTTAGCAAATACAGCCTGATTATTTATCGATCTAATATCTGATACTATATCAATAATTAAACCAGGATTTTTAAAGGAATGAAAATAGATCATGTCACCCAATGAACCATCAGTTAAAGCTGGACAATAAACAGGAATATTATTCTAAAATATACATATATATATATATATTAAGAAAGGCTATAAAAAACGATAATCAATCTAATTTAAAAAGAATAGTTATTACTTTATATGCCCAATAGTAAATAGAATCTGGGTTATCGATTTCTTTACCAAGACGATGGATGATTTTCGAAGGTGACCATATTATACCCTTGATAAATGAATTCGTAAGACTTGAAAAAAAAACCCCCGAAAAATAAAAAATATTTTAAATATATACCTCACTTTTTTGTTCTTCTAATAAACGGTCTAAAATTGGTACAACCCAATCTTCAAATTTGCAATAATTTTCATTGGGTACTAACAAATTTCCAATTCGATTTATCCCTTTTTTTCTTAATTGGGCACCTGGTAAATTAAAATCACCCGCATATGTAGGACCCAAACATTTTATAAAATCTTCTTCTACACCACCAGCAGTTGTGACGACAACATCCACGAGGGAATGTTGAACTAAAAAGCGGAAAATTTCACGAAGTCCTGATGATACAAGATTAGATGTATAGCCGAGAAAAATCTTACATTTTGTGGAAGCACGAACGTTCGGAAGTTTGTAATCATCGGATTCATCAGGTAAAAGTGGATCATCAGATAAACGCCAATTACGCTAAAATTAAGAATTCATGCTTATATGGTTTTTATAATATTCCTTTTTTTTTTTTTTTTTTTTGAAAAAAAAAAGAATTGAATTATATAAAAACCATTTGATTGATGACATTAATAGCTTGACCAACACTAGTCGCTTGGAAACCAATTCGAGAGTAACTCTTGAGCAAATCTTCTAAAGAATGGTTTTGGTTAAAGTCAGGTCCTATGACAGTTGCAGCATTATCGGGCATAGAGGTAGATTTGACTAGTACTGCCTGGGCAGCAACGGTGGGCACTGAAAAGGATGCATCGTCTTTATCAGTGTCCCCCATTTTTTTTGGACAGGTTAGAGTGTTAATCCGAATTCTGTGTTTGATTGCATTTTATAATTGGTTATATATATATACTAACACGTGATAACATCAACTTTCTAAACCGAACCTGGCTGGATAAACAAGAATTGACTGTGATTGGCTAAATAATTCTTATATAATATTATTCAAAGTCAACCCTTTGAAGTCAACATATACACATAAATAACTTTATTCCAATATTTACAGCTATTTTACTGCTGTTTTCCTAAATACTTAAAATCATCAAATTTCTGGAAGACAGCAACGCAGTTTCTGAGACTAGATGATTCTTAGGACGAGACTGAAGGGATAACAAATAATATAAATAGGTTATATGCTGTATTATCCTTTACAATAAATGTCCTTGGTGTTGTTAAACTGTTTTGATTAGATCAGAAAAATCACTAGCTTTCGGGACATTTATGATAATAATTCATTTATTCAATAGATTCATTTAACGGATGAGAGTAAGAAATAAAACATCTCGAGCTTAGTATACTTTTGGAACGTTCTAATGTTTAGAAATTCTAATATATACCAAATTCGAGATTCATGACTTATTTTCATCAGATAAATTCATCAAATGATAGTATGGTTATTATTATAAGTTTTATGTAGCGATCATTAAAATTTGGAATTGATTAAAAAATGCTATATATGTTGTGCCCAAAATGTAAATTTGTCCTAATAATTATTTGGAGAAGCCCAGATGCAAGTTGCCAAATTTACCTTTACTTAAATGTTCGGCCTAAATTCATTTGTTGACATTTAGGCTGGATATCTGAAATACAACATACTGTACATAAATTTATAGTATTTTTTTTTTAAAAAAAAAAACTGCTAAAAACATCTTATAATATTCTATAACAAGTTTCATAATCTTTTTATAATTTACCATTAGCATCATCCGATTATGAAGGTAAAGTAGTAAATTATTGACTTTTTTTTCATCTTCAATAATTATGTTAGATAACATCTTAAAACAAGTCATCGAAATCATCAAATTGAAGAGTACACATGTTTAGTGAAGGCATTTGTTCCAAAGTAGACAATGACATTTGTTCAAATGCACTTTGAGAAAACAATGACGGTGGCGAAGGTGCGGGTGAAATACCAGATTTAATCAACCTTTCTTGAATGGCAAGATAGTCTGGCGTTCGAGATCTAGGTATCTCTTTTTGCTTATCTTGATGACCCATTTCATCAATAATTTGTGATTGTGAAAAGAATGATAATGGAGACGATACAGGCGAAGTAGAACAGAATAGAGCTTCTTGTTTAGAATGGATATCTAAGGCTTCAGCTTGTTCCGTAAGTTTAATGTTACGAATGGATATATTGGAATTGAGATCTTCGTTTTTTTGAAAATTATCGTTATTTTTCTGTGATTCATGAACAGTTTTCGTACAAGTTTCATGATTTCTGTTAGCTGCGTCATGATCAGCATTAAACCATAAATCATCGTCATCATCATCAATGATCAATACATTCTCTTTATGCTCTTGGAAATCTAAATCGAAAAAATTGTCATTATCCGCATTCTCGCAATTTTTATCTGGGGATGCCATTCTTCGACTCACTGGCTTTGATGCCGCTACCAAAGTCGGATTGTTCTGCACAAACACTGAACGTTTATCATTATTCATTTCTAATAGAGACTTCATATTGTTTTGTAATGGAGAATTACTAATTTGAACTGATGTACCCTTTTCAAACTCCTTATCATGTACATTGCCGTCACAATAGATATTCTTTGATGATTTTCTGGGATGTTTATCCGATGAAATTTCGGGACTTAATCGCGAAGATGTTGTTATAAAAGAGTCATCCGTTAACACGGAAAAGGTTGATAAGTGATAAGAATTACCCTGAGGCATTTGTTGATCATCCCGATTTTGCCAATAAGATATGCCAAGACGCTTTTTTGAAGATATAAGGGATTTTTTAGGTTTTGCACCATTTAGATCATCAGGAGGATTATTAGAGCATTCTTGTGACAAATCCTGATTAACATCTATAGTTGTTGAACCATTCACAGATGCTGAATTAGGAAGATCTATTTATATATATATATTTTTTTTTTAAAGAATTTGATCAAAACTCTGTTATAAATAGAAACGTAAATAAATGAATATTATGCAATAACAGACTTTGAAATTCCGAAGCAATTATAGTATTTTGACTATGTTTTATATGTTGATTTTTCAAGCGAAAGAAATCTACCAATTTCTTTTGAATTTTTTCATTTCCATTTATTATATTATTTGGTTTAACTGGCATTGTTTTTTTGATACGATTATTTTTTTTTTCACAATTTTTACTGGCAATAATTTTTTCTTTGGTAGCTCTCAATATCGTATAAAAGTTCATAGAGTTTTCAAAGCATATTGTCAAAGTAATTTGTCGATTCTGACCTTGTTTGACGTATTTTCCTATTGTTTCTTCTTGAGCATCCTTCCACTTTCTCGACGATTGTTTTTTTGCAGGTGGTTTAATAGTTTGATTTTGACGCGAGATATTGACTTCTTTTGCAGTACTTAGTTGATTATTTTCAAATCTATTTTCCAGTTGGAAAAATTGCGATAAAGAAGATTGCTTTAAGGTTACACGCGATTTTTGTTTAGTAAGTTTTTGTTGCGGTTCAGTAGCAACTAAGTTATTCGTTTGTAACGCGGTATTGGTTTGTGGATCAACAGTAACACGGTTACCCGATTGTGATTCAGTAACGCGATTATTAAATCGCGACGTTGGCTTTTTTGAAACCTTTATCCATCCTGTTGATTCACCATCTTTCAATTTTGCTGTTTCTGTTTTTCGCATCGTTACAGCATTAACAGCTATAGCTGAAAGTGAGAATTGTTTATCTGTTATATCGATTTATGCACGTGATCGGCAATTATCAAACAAATCAGTCAATAAATCATGGTGAGAATTACATATGATTGGCTAATTTACGTAGATCTATGCTATGCAAAAATCTTGCGATAGTCTAATGCAGTACATAATGATGTGAAATTATAACTACACGACAAATTAGTAAAGTTATGAGGGTATGCGACCTCTTACAAAAAAAAATTATATTTCCTATTTCCGTAGCTTTTCTATTGGCACACTTTAAAATAAGTCTACTAGGGATTGGAATCGATTAAAAAATTAATCTAATTAACGACTATGTTTAGTTAGCTAGTGTAGTTGACCTAAAATTGTCAACACGACTATATAAGCCGAAATTTAAAAATCGGCTTAGCCGGCTATGTAAAGCCGATAACCTTTAGTATGTAAAATAATGTACAATATATTTAGTATACTTCGAATTTTTCCCACCCATTGTTATACGTAGAATTGTATGATTGATCATTTCCTATATACATAAATCAAGAGTTAAGTTTTTACAAAATCGAAAATCCCCATAATAAAATTTATGGTTCATAAATAAACACTCCCTAGTGATTAATCACGAAACGAATAGCATCAATACTTGGCAAATTGTCGAATACGGTAATTTAACAAATTTACTGACACGTACACGTGCTTATTTGCCATTATTTAGCAAATTTTGCAATATTGTTCTCTTGCGTTTTTTAAATTCGATATTCGCGCATCTTAAATAAAAGTGTATACGGTATACTGGTATAGCAGTTATAAAAAAACAAAAAAAAACAAAAGTGCGCCAATAACAGAACATCCAGTTAAACAAAGTTTCAATATTAAGAATATCTAAATTCACTTTGTCTGTTTGGATGCATACAGTTAGTTGTTTGCTTTTTACAGTATCTGGTATTAACATTAAAAAATGTTTCGAAAAATATATTTCTTGGAATATTCTTTGAGAATTGTGCGAAATGATTCGCAATCACTAGATAAAATTCACTTAAGAAATCCACAGTCCTTTCAGGTTCACTGAGAAAAATAATAAATCACTTTCGATCTAAAAAAATCCGCCGTAAACATCTAAACAACAAATTTTGCTAATCAAGTTCTGAAAATTTTTATAACGTATTAGAAAAACAAAGATGGACCAATATAATGAATCAGCAAATTTTGGAAATTGGAATATGAAGAATTTAAAAAAGAAGTTATTGATGACGGATTTAACGATTTATCTGACAAAAAACTATAGCCTATACTGTATTCAGATTTAGTATATATTGCAACAGAATTTTATTTTGACTCAGTCAATTAGAGAATTCGAATTCCGCTTAATAAGTGGACTTAATAGAATTAAAATTAACTCAAGATTATTCAATTAAATTAAATAAGAATTCTTTAACAAGCTTATTCACAATCATAATAAATCTTTATTTCTATTTCGTAATGCATTTAAAAGCTTATTCAGTAAATTTTTTGATCTAAATCTGTAATCAATGTTGTAAAACTTTTAACTATAACACGAAAAGATGATTTCTGTATTAGAGTTAATACCTGGATCCGGATCCTAATAATTAGATACGAGTTTATAGCGATGTGGTTTCAGAATAATTGGTGATTTTTAGGATGACACCAAAAAGATTTAGAAACTGAACAAAATTTTCAAGTGTTCCAGAATTATGGAAACCCGTATCTTATTATTATTAGGATCCGGATCTTACGATTAGATCTGGATCTTATTAATAGGATCCGGATCTTGTGATTAGATCCGGATCTTATTACTAGGATCCGGATCTTGTGATTAGGATCCGGATCCAGGTATTAACTCTATTCTGTATTAAAGTTTTACAAGATTCATTAAATAAGCTATTGAACCGCAAAAGATCGTTATTGGGAGAAAGAATATTTAGTTTACGATATCTTGAAACATCAATGAATCTACTATTTCAACTTGCTAAAAATTGATTTACTTTGTATATGCTTTTCAACAAGGTATTTTAAAACAGACTGATTCTTCAAATCTATGCATATGTCGTACGTCGGAATGAAATTATTGTAGATTTAGAATCCACTTAGGTTCCAAATTTAGTTCAAGTTGATATGAGATTTAAAAGTAACTTAAGTCGGTTCTATATTTGGTAATAAATTTAATAACAACTTGATTTTAAATTCGATACTGTAATAAATCATGATATATTATTGTCAGATAAAATACGAATATTTTATTATCTCTTTTTTTTTTATTTCACTTTTTTATTCTTTGCAACTCTCTCTACCTGATGACCGAATATTAATATCCACTTTTACCCCGTAATTTATTCAAAGAATTGCATTCCAAATATTTTAGTAATGAGTCAGCAATTGTTTTTGTATTAATGTTTTACGAGGTTCAGCAAATACAACAATCAAGGATGCGAAAAATCGATATTTTGGCAAAAAATACATTTGCATTATGTGATTAAAATAATATTTTTTCCTCTTCACAAGTAGATAATATTAAATGCAATTGCAAAAATGCATGAGACAAAATCTCTGTAAATGTAAAATAAATATACCCTTAGGAATAGTTGCTATCCCACTAATCATACTGTAGATGTAAAAACTCCGTGTCATGCTTTTTAAATTTAATTAATTTGCAATGCACTGTTATGAATAAATTCTATCTTAAAGTAATTTAGATTCCAAACAACGTACTCGATGAAATAATTTGGAATACACATAATTTTGTTGTAAGGAATTCTTTAACAACTCGAGCACATTTTAGAATTCTATTCCAATCTACGTTTATCCTAAGTGGATTCTAAATCTACAATAATTCCATTCCGACGTACGACATATATAATACGATTTATTATCCCCTGATCAACCTACTTATATTTCCTACGTATTTATCTTAGGTGATCGGGTATAAGCATTAACTATTTTAATCTTCACGTTAAAGGAAATTCGTAAGCGTAAGAAAGGTTTTATTTTTCAAATAAATACATCAAAGTTATATGGATGAAGAAAGATAATTCAGTGATATACTGGATATTAAATGCATACGAAGTTTACTAAAATGTATAACTTAGATCGGCGCTTACGCGATTGATCACGTCAGTTATGCTTTCCCGGTAAATCTGTTTATATTCAATTACTCAGGATATAATTCTTATTTATGTGATTAAAATACTAGAAACAAGAAGCCTGCATTCGTCCGATGCTTAAAGTTCGATATAACGGTAACTTTAATGGATTTTTCAATGTATAGACTTCAGGGCAACTACATTTTAAAATCATTATTTCGGTCATCAAAGCGCAATATATATCCAGTACAGCAGTATACTTTTAAAGGTTGCTGTACTGCTGTACTGTACGTACGTATGTCATATGATGCGAACATACAGTATTTAAATATGTATATTATTTTGACCAGATGTACTACATTCAACATTTCAATGAAATTAATTCCTCTCATATAATGTCATCTAAAGTATCAAAAACAAAAGGTGATAACTCATCAGATATAATTACTCAGCTCACCAATACTTTTGATCAATTGAACTTTATTGAATGTCAAAAATTAGCTGATATGAATGATCCAGATGGAATATTCTGGCTTGGTTATTGTTACGAATATGGAATTGGTGTTGAAAAGGATGAGGACAAGGCATTCATTCATTATCAAAAATCTGCAGAGATGAATAATCCTAAAGGAATGTATCAAGTTGGTTATTGTTATTATTTAGGAATTGGTGTTGAATTGAATAAGAATAAAGCGTTTATGCATTATTTAAGATCTGCTGAGGCTGGTAATTCTATGGGAATTCGGAAAGCTGTCATTTGTAGAAAAGAGTAAAGACAAGTCCGATTATTGGTATAAAAAGTAAGCTATTCGATAATTTTTTGATAATATATCTAAATATAAAACTTTTTAAACTAATTGATTCTTTAGGGAGTAAGTATAAAAATATAAAGATAGTATTAAATATAAAATTCTAAATTAATAAGATTAAAAATATTTTATCCACGTTAAATTAGTTCGTAAGTAATATTTATTACTGTATTAATTTAAGTATTTAAAATAAGCTATTCAAACTCACGAATATTCATATTTTCATTTTATTCGCGTTAATTTAGTCAGTAAGTATAAAGAATTTATTAATCTAAATAATTAAAATAAGATATTCAAAGTTCATGAATATTTATTGTCGCAGCTGATGCTGAAAACGGCTGATGCTGAAATTTTGGGGTCTCTGTTTAGAACTATAAAACCTACTAAAACCCATCTATACACTTTAATTAATAA